GTACACCCGCCAGCAAATCGCGAACATCATTATGGCGTGCGATGGTGTAGCCGCCAGTAGGACAAGCCATTGCATGCTCAGTGGTTAGAGTTGCTCCACAAACACAAGTCTCAGGGAGGCCATCCAGCTCCAAACCGTATCGGAAGCAGAGAGCATCCCGGAAATCAGATTTATTGAGTATGGTTACTGGCTGATTGTATGACGGTTGGGCGGTCAGCCAGCTGGAGGTGCCTTTCTCACCCGCTGTTTCTAACAGTAGCCGCTGGCACGGAGACAGTCCAGGGCCAATCTCTGCCTGCACACCACGCGAAATCTGGTCCCGCCGTGCTCTCACCCGGCGCAGCCCAGCACGCACCGCAGCAACAGCCTCAGCGACACCACACGGACCACTAGGATTGGTCTCGCCAGGCTCTTCGACGCCTAATCCCACGGCAACAGGCTCCGCACGCAGCGCAGAGAACGATCCGGCATCAGGTAGTTGGTCAAGATCAGGCGGAGGCGGACCCGCAGGTGGAGGCGACAACGCGCCAGCATAATCAGGCGGAGGCGGTCGCACATGTGGCTGGTCTAGACCAGGCGGAGGCAGCGACGCACGAGCACAGTCAGGCGGAGGCGGTTCCGCAGGCGGAGGCAGTGACACGGCAGCACGGTCAGGCGAATGCAGTCGCACCGGCGGTTGGTCTAAGCCAGGTAGGGGCCGTCCCACAGGTGGAGGCAGCGACGCACCAGCACAGTCAGGCGGAGGTGGCCGCGGAGGCCGAGGCAGCGACGCATCAGCACAGGCAGGCAAAGGCGACCCAGCAGGCAGAGGCGGTGACATATTAGCACAATGATGCGGGGGTAGTCCCATAGGTGGTTGGTTAATATCACGCAGAGGCGGTCCCGCAGGCGGAGGCAGTGATGCACCAGCACAGTCAGGCGAAGGCGATGATAGCGCAAGCTGAACCAGAGGATCAGTGGCACTGACAGAGGCCTGATGTTCCCCAGCCGCCGTCTTCGACAATATGGGGACGGCGAGGCCCCCATGCCGGACAGGCAAAGCCATTAGCCGACGTTGGTGGCTGGCCTGCGCAATTCCATGACCCAGCAAAGCCGGCAGGAAATGGTCACTGAGGATCTCATCCAAGGCCTCCAAAACGCCTGTCGAGAACGGCATTGAGCGCAAGTGGTAAGTCCACCGTGATGACAGGGCCTTGGAGAAGACGGTATACGCCGCATGAGGTTGAGTCTGGGCGATCTCACACAAGGTGCGCAGGTCACCAGCCCATCTATCCGCCAACTGCCCCATATAAGAGCGGCAGAAATCTTCTGACCCTAGGGCGCCCCCGAGGAATCGGCCGCCAGCGGCAGTAATCTGGATGCCACTGTCGAAGAAGATTTCTCTGGCCCTATCCAGATGCTCTGGCTTTGTGATCAGAACAGTTTTGGACGCGTTCGGGTAGTAACCATAACCAGGGCCAATGGCCCGGAGTTCATCCCAGTAATTCCGAAGGCGAGCCAGAAGACCTGCACCCGAGTCATCATCCGCGAACCAAGATTGGACAACACTGGGGCATGTCGCAGCCAGGCGCCTGACCAGTGGCATGATCGCCACAGCATAGGCTGCCATAGCCAGTGGGTCGCCCTGAGCCGTGCCTTCACGCGATTCGATTTCACCTCCACCAGACACAAACAGGCGGGAAACTGATCCATACGTGTTACGAAACACCGTTGCAAGCGGGGGGCAGAGACGCGGAATGTTGTGTAGCGCAGCCTGCCTATTCAATGCATTAAATGCATTGGAGGCGTCCACAAGCAAGACACCCTCAACCCCCGGGCCAGCGAACAGACGGGACATTGTGTGTACGGCGGCTTCGCAGGCAGATGGAACGCCCACACAGAGTTGGACAGGAGCTGTTACTCTCAGCACATCACTTTCCACTACTGACATCACGGCGCGACCAATGATACGCCGGTACACTTCGCCCACAGCGATGGGGCGCACGCCAGGTTTCTTATCGAGGGGTATTAGGCGAGCGGATGTAAATCCAATCATCGCGCAACCGGCAAGGCGCTCGGTACATATGCACCTCCCCGCGGCAGCAAGGGATGAACACAAACGCCTTGACGAGGCGTCATAGCACGTCAGCATTCGGCACCACGCCTCAGCGTCCAGGCCCGACGGTCCAGAGGAACCCTGCATGCCTCGGCCGATTTTCTTTATTAGCTCAGGGGTTATTTGTTGAAAGATGACCTGGTTGACAATCTCGGGATCACCCGGCAAGAGAGCCGAGGCAGGCGGTGTAGCAGATGGCGGATGTTTCTTCAACAGGGCGTCACGGACCGTCTCTCCCGTGGTATCATCCACAATGTCGTTCATGGAAAGGACTCCACCAGAAGCGTTTGGCGCCAGGTAGCGAACAGCAGAAGAAATCTTTCCATTGAAAACGAGATTAGCGAACACCACGTCACTCTTCTCCTGTGAGGCGGGCCTGGGAGAGCCTCCGCCCGACGCCGGCAAGTGCGCCTGGATACAAAGGCACTCGCTCAGTAACTGTGGAATGTCGCAATCTCTCCACAGCACGAGACGTCTGCGAAGATGCTCACTATGGTTTTTCATGATCTTTGATTTGTGTGGTTTTTGCAAGAGAAGGTGACAAGCAACGCACACAGCTCTCCATGCGACATCTCTTTTACCGGAGTCATCCGCAAACCCAAGGATCAGAGATGCGAGCTCGTCAACAAAGGCTGCACCAGCGGATCCATGGGGTATAATGAACAGATTGCGTCTCCAGCCTACCACGACCTCGTAGGCATCGATGATTCTCGCGGAAAACGGATCCCTGGCTACGCTCGCAACTCCACTACCGGCATCCGCTGGGCTGGGGATAGGCCTCGACCGTGCCTGAGCGGTTGATTCCACATCCACCTGGCCGCCACCAGCGCGGTGCTCTGTATTCATTCCATAATCCTCGGAGCTGTCAAGCACACTGCTTGGCTGGCTGCCACCGAGATCAGCCAGGAGCCGGGTATCCTCTCCAGGACCAGAGGGTAGGGTGGCACTTCGATTAACCGTGACAAGGTGTGGGGAGCACTCATCACCCTCCTCGCCATTCTCACTAGAGCCGGAGGCATTCTCACTAGAGCCGCCATCACCCTCCTGGCTGCTAATAACAGAGGCACCAAAAGCACTTGCCACGGTGAGAGGAGGCGCCAAATCCCGAGAGACAGAATGAACAACCGGAGGCCGAGACTGTAGACTTGCACCATCCACACCACAAGAGAGAGCTGGGTCCACACCAGCACTGGCGATAGATGGTGGTTGGCTGCGTAGCACTCCGGCAGCAGCTGCAGACACATTACAGCAAGTGCTGGGCGTAGACCTGCTCGGGTAGCAATCGCTACAAACTCTCCCAGCCTTCACACACGAACATCGTGTACATGCTCTGCCCGTCTGGCACCTACAGCAAGGCATCAGGCCAACCACCCAGTCAGCGCGGAACACGGATAGCGCAGACCCCTGGTGACAGCCCGGCAAGGCAAGTGCGACGACCTGGACCAGCAACAGCAGGAGAAACATCCGTCACCAATAAGCGCCCATGAGTGGCGCAAGCACTTCACCTCAGCGCGTAATGCAGCGATGTAGCTAATCCAGGTAATCCAGCTTGGCGCAACGCACAACTCAGCCCTTGCGCTAAGGATCGAAGGATTTGACCACACCATGAGACTTCATCCAATGGCAGGACACTGCCAACCTAGCCAACTTGAAGATATAACAGCTGCTCCAGTCAACTCTAGACCAAACAGCAATCAAGCAGCAATCAAGCAGCTCAGCAGCCAAGCAAGCTTCTTCCTCCAACCAGAGCAGCCAAAAGTCCAACCGATCTCCGCAAGCGCATCCGAATAATCATCATCATCATGTGGCCAAGCCGCTTTTACGGGCAACAATATTATGAATATGAAACGCAAGGTATTGTAAGAGCAATTTTCTGAAAATAATGTTAAAACACGAAATAATTTATAGAAATGCATTATCACACCGTAGCCACTTTTATGGGCAAATTCCAATACAAGGCAATAGGAACACGAGGATGAAGTTAACCTTTTAAAACCCAAAGAAAAGACAAAAGATGTCAACAATAGAACTACAAATATAAAAAACAAACATCAGGTCATAAAAACTACTTTAAAACATAACCAAACATCATCATCATCATCATCATCATCATCATCATCATCATCATCATCATCATAATGCTGTCGGCTGTCTTTTGCTTTGCTGCGTGCTGCTGTGTTGTGCATACGTGGGGCTCGGTCACGGTACCACCATCCGGCGAGATGTTTTCATGATGTCTCGATTGCCGTGGCCGAGTCAGGTCTAGTTTGTTAAGTATCGTGCTGTGTCCTGACTGTGCATGCGGGATTGGTATGGCGCTTACCCTTTTGTTGTTGTTTTGTTGCTTTCATGCCTTTAAGCATGTAATTGTGTTCAATTGTTGTATTTCATGGAAAAACGATCTTTGCGTTGGATTCATTTAAACTATTATTTGTGTAGGGTTCCACTCCTTCATCTTGGGAAATTGTGTTTTGTTTGCCCAAAGAAGTGGCTTCATAAAAAATAAAAATAAAAAAATCATCATCAAAAAAATCATCATCATAATCATCATCATCATCATCATCATCATTGGAAACGGCCTCTTGTACGGGCTTGAAACGGTGATAACCGAGATTATGTGCAAAAATCGTGATAGATATTCAGGTAAAATATGACATTTAACAGTTGAATGATTAGTACCAATTAGTATTAGTATCATCATCATCATCATCATCATCATCATCATCAGACATTTCGAGTCGGCATCGGCGTGAGCCCACACAATTGTTTTAGCCTTTGCTTGGGCCACACCCAATGGTAGGCATGATGCGAGAAGAAAAAGGGAAAAATACGTGAAGAAACACTTGACCGTATGCATACCATTGATTCAATGCACAGCTTTTTTTCTTTTGCTTTTGATGTGCAGGAATGGCATTTGGCCATAACACTGTGCAGATGTATGGACCACATGTGGACCAGACTCAGAAGCGCTGCATTGGCCAATGTTATCTTGTGATGAGATGTGACGGTGCGGTGTCAGAGGAAGAGTTCCGCAAAAGTCTCCAGGAGATGACCGAGGATGTTAGAAAGGAGCCGCCAATGGCTGGTAAGATCATAAAAACGATGAGAATGCAGGTACTGGTTTAAATCAAGAAGTTAGCATGTCGTTTTTTCGGGGAAATCTTGTTCACCAAAACTCTAGTACATGAAGCGTATACCGTTTCACTACCACATATCCAGCCTGCAATTATATGGTTGTGTGTGTTTGTGTGTCTGTGTGTGCATGTGTATGTGTGCATGCTGGCGGATTGGTGGGCTTCTGTTGATTATCCAGGTGTTTCGAGCGTGATGATGCCTGGTGATCCTGAGATTGCCACTGCCTGCCACCGGCGCAAGCATGGTATACCTTTGAACAGCGTGGAGTGGGCTGATTTCACACGATTTGCAAAAGAGCTCAACCTTGATCTGCCCACGGTGTTGAATACCTCGTCGGAGTAGAACATTTTATCATCCTGTTTTACTCTATAGTTTAGCACAAAATAGGTATTTCTATTTAGTAATTTGATACAGTCAGACCTCGCTTATCCGGTCCTCTTTTATCCGGATCCCCCGCCATCCGGAAGAAAACAGCTGGTTACAGATTCACAGCATACGTGATGCATCCAACATAGCCGGTGTTTGGTTATCCGGTTCCCTCGCCCATCCGGATACTTTTGTGCCAATTGTGGGAAACGGATGTGTGCGGTTATGCGAGGTCTGACTGTATTATCGAAATTTGATATTTAAATCTCTCTGCCAATGATGGACCTATTGTAGCTTCCTTGACTTGCTCCTGCTTAGAATGTGGAGAGTACGAGTATATTCTGTGTGTGTGTGAGGTACATGACCTCTTCCTCACCGGAAATTAAGTGTATGTAATTGCGGATTGGACAAGAAAAGAGATTGCATCGTTTGAATTGCATTCTGAGCATATGTGTGGATGTGAGGAACAGGAACCATTCCGGGAGCATACATGGTACCTGTACCTGAAGCATGTTTGCATGTCATTTGTACATGTTTTGATTAAAATAAGAAGGAAGGCGTGTGAGAAAACTGCAACGCAGGTGCAGGTGGTTATAACAAGTACAAGATTGTTTCAAGTGAGGTGTCCAAAGATAATAAATTTTGCAAAGAGAACAACAGTCTATGCTGAAATAGTTAAATGTGTAGTGTTCTATGCTTTCAACCCTGTGTGTGCATATGCGTGGATTTATGCAAACCATGCACTTGGGCAAAGGCACCATTCATGTAAATGAATTTATCCACTACCGAACCTACAGAATTAGTGAATCAGCTCTTGTCCCTAGCCGGGGGTACTCGAAAGACGTGTCAGGCTTTTCCCCTGAAGCTGGTTGTAATGTACTCCCATTTATAGAGTCGCTTCCAACTGTTGAGTAGTTTTGTAAACAGACTTCGTTGCAGCTGTCTGCAGTGCTCTGAAAATTTGAATGGCAACTGACCCACTGATGCTACACTGTGTCACAGCCTGAATTATGTGAATACGACTACTGTCATAGTTTGTAGTCACTGTTTACTTCGGGTTCTCACCACCTAGCTCGAGCCTGCACCAGTGGTCGCTATCCTTCACAACAGCGTCAGGGCTCACTTTGGATCTAGCTAAATGGCCGGGCTCTTTGCGCAGCGTCGATGCTGCTGCGTCTTGAAACCTGAAGTCTAGTGACCAGCGAACAGTGTCAGATTTGTTTGGAAGGCCGCAGTGGTACAGGTACTGACCAAACAGAATGACGTCGCCACGTTTCGCGTCCATATCAACGGCTTGGTGAACGCAGGTTTTCATAATGTCCGCATCTAGTTCCAGGTACTCCTTGCGTTCGACGTGCGGTTGGACGCCATTGCGATGCGACCCAGGAATGAACTGCATGCAGCCGTTGTTGGCCGTGACGTCCACCAGTGGGATCCATACGTTCACCATGCATCTCAACGCAGCGTCAAGCTGCTCATCGGTATAGTCATTGAGGGCATGCCAAGTCTTGCTCCCAGTGTACCCTGCATCCTGATGCCACAAGACCGTGTGTCGCTCAGTACCACCGGGCACTTTAGGTCGACATGTGTAATTCGGATAGAGACGTATCTCACTTGTACCAAGCACATGTTCTGCTATGTCCAACAGGTTCTCGTTGAAGAAGATTGGGAACAATCCTGCCAGGTGAAGTTCGCTACGGAAAATCTTCGGAGCTTCATTCAAACGATCTCGGTAGACGTGCACCAATCGCTTATCAAATGGCTCATTTCTGAAGAGAGACTCTGTCACGTTATTATCCAGTTGGTGCTGTGCTAGACTGTCGACTATGGTGTCCAGGTGCTCCTCAGCCTCATCCAGCGTCTCAGTGGGTATGAGCCCGCGTAAGACATAGAATCCGTCCTTCTGCAAACCCTCTTGAATTTTCACAAGCTCTTCTTTGCTAAGTCGCGACATTTTCGACAAGACCTCCGAGTCGCCAGGATACCATTACCAGATTACCAGACTGTCCAACCTCCTGGCCACCCCAAATAAAAACCCGGACACCTAGCGGAGATCTACTGACTACTGTCCGTTCTCAAAGTAGATCTACCTCAACTCTAGACTGAAGTCATTCTTTATTTTCTCTTTTTTTAGTGAAAAGATCTGAACGCACACGAAGACACTTACTGACTTAGACAGTGATACAACAAGAGCGAAGTGGGCATGAACCTTCCACGCCAGTGCAGTAGGCCGCGGGGTGCCCGGATTTTGCCCCAACGCAATACTACTACTAGTACTAGTGTGAAGCGGCATGCCGGCAACATGGTTGTCGTGAAGGTAACGCCGGCCTGTAGACAGTGTAGTTCTGCACGCTCCCTGTCAGGTGACAGCTAGCTCAGCACTGACAGAAATTCTCACCTTTTTCCCTCCACCTTCCCAAGCTAGGCCTAGGGCTACTACTACTGCTACTAGTACTAGTAGTAGAAGTAGTTGCCAGTTTCTACATTCTGTTCTCTCAGTCGTTTCTAGTAGCTTTGCCGTTCAGCTGCGTTTCTCAACGCTCCCTCTAGCTCTGGCTTAGCTACACACTGCTGGAACTACCTGGCTGCTGCCTCCAACAGGTTACGTTGGGTTTGACAATGCTCACAGTTTCAGTTACTCCAGCCCCGTAGTTTCAAGGTGCTTTACACTACTGTAAGTACTATCGTGCACACTGACTGACTTCGCCCCCCCCCCCCCCCCCACCCCCTTCGCGTCGTTTGTGTTCAGGACACTCAACTTCCTCCTTTCGTTTCGTTTGTGTTGGCTGTGGCAGGGCACTTCGTTCCCCTTCTCACAGCTCCAGCTTATCCATCTCGTTTCACATAGCGTACAAGTATTCCTGCGCATACAGTCCTCATGGTTGAAGCTGCTCTCCGTTCGTTGGCCAACTGTCAGCCAGCAGACTCCCAATAATCGGAGTTGTCGCAATAACGCTCTTCTAATGATTATGTTAGTTCGCGACAACCTGTATTCCCTAAACCCGAGCTACCACACAGGACGACTCTGCCGTCCCCGGCGCCGGCTGAAGCAGAAGCCACCATGCGTGAGGATCAGACACAGAGTCACAGCGAGTGCGGCCAGATACAGTTACAACGACTCTCACCATGTCAACTACTCGCTAGATCCTCTACTAATCTCCAAGATAACTCACTTTCAAGTCAAGTAAGTGATAGCAGGTTGGTCTAGAACAGGGGCCGGACCGTCCGTAAGTAACGATATTTCAAAAACAATGATATCTTGTGTCTTGTAATGTTTCTGGAAAAGACAAAAAGGAAGAGAACGTGAAGTTGATTGTTCCAACTAGGAACACACGCTTCTTGCCGAACTTGACACTTGACTGACTCACGACCGCCATCCGGAGCACACGAGGAGCACGTCGCACCTTCCACTCGGCAAACCTGCAAGAAAGCACCACTCCCTGCTCAATACACAGTGTTTCGGGGAATTCACCCCTCATCAGTTGAGCTTGAGTAAGCTGAGGAGATTCCACACTGGCACAATCTTCCTCAGCCTACTCGAGCTCAACTGATGAGGGGTGAATTCCCCGAAACACGGTGTATTGAGCAGGGAGTGGTGCTTTCTTGCAGGTTTGCCGAGTGGAAGGTGCGACGTGCTCCTCGTGTGCTCCGGATGGCGGTCGTGAGTCAGTCAAGTGTAGGGCTGAAACGATCATCCATCTAGCCCAACCGATTACTCTTTATCATAACGATCGATTATTCGATTATAATCTTTAAGAGGCCGCACCTGGAATATGTACGTAGAATGGCCAAAAGTGGAAATATGTACAAAATTTTGCACAAAAAAGTGTTAACCCACATGCATGCACGCATACACACAATAAAACTTAAAACAACCAAAACATCAATATGCACATTTATCCAGACACGCTCTCACATACACACGCACGCATGTGCGTGCCAAACGTACAAAACGTGGACACGTGTACACCAAGCAGATAGAATACAAGGAAGTGGGGTTTGCCATAGTTTTTTTTTTTCAATTTTGTCTGATAAATATTTACGAGACTTTGCATCGAGCGACACCGTGGATAACATTGAGCCAAGAATTATGCAATAAACCAGAAGAGATATCTCTTCACAAGTAGGCAAATAAATGCGTAGGTGCCCGGCAACAGCAATCGGGCGAGTCACAGCAATGTACGTATTGCAACTTCAATGATACGCATACACGGTTGACCACCCATGCCTCCATTTTCGGCGGGTCAACCACATGGTGGCCCGGCAACTTCAAACGGGAACACACTGATACAACATACACAGTTGACCACCCATGCCTCCATTATCGGCGGGTCAACCACATGGTGGCCCGGCAACTTCAAACGGGAACACACCGATACAATAGACACAGTTGACCACCCATGCCTCCATTATCGGCGGGTCAACCACATGGTGGCCCGGCAACTTCAAACGGGAACACACCGATACAATAGACACAGTTGACCACCCATGCCTCCATTATCGGCGGGTCAACCACATGGTGGCCCGGCAACTTCAAACGGGAACACACCGATACAACATACACAGTTGACCACCCATGCCTCAAACCGGCGGGTCAACCACACAACAACATACAGGTGTCACAACACTGAGACAGTACAGCACAACACTGAGAGGCAAATGCATTTGACCCTCCTTGGGGCCTCGTCATGTGACACAAGATACCGACGTGTCATGTCTAAAGGGAGGGAGGGAGGGGAGAAAACACAACCTTGAGTCACTTTGGCTAACTGGATGACAGAAATTGTTGACAAGGAAGTTGCTTTGCTGACACGAGGCAGGGCAAAGCGGCCACGCAAGATTTATTTTTTCATCCACCATTTTCGGAAAAAATATTTTTTATTCATGTGCCGCGTGACGAACCGTGACAAAACACGTGCATGCGTGGGCTAACTTGGCTTTGCTGCTCAAAGCCGTCATTTAACCCACATGCATGCACGCATACACACAATAAAACTTAAAACAACCAAAACATCAATATGCACATTTATCCAGACACGCTCTCACATACACACGCACGCATGTGCGTGCCAAACGTACAAAACGTGGACACGTGTACACCAAGCAGATAGAATACAAGGAAGTGGGGTTTGCCATAGTTTTTTTTTTCAATTTTGTCTGATAAATATTTACGAGACTTTGCATCGAGCGACACCGTGGATAACATTGAGCCAAGAATTATGCAATAAACCAGAAGAGATATCTCTTCACAAGTAGGCAAATAAATGCGTAGGTGCCCGGCAACAGCAATCGGGCGAGTCACAGCAATGTACGTATTGCAACTTCAATGATACGCATACACGGTTGACCACCCATGCCTCCATTTTCGGCGGGTCAACCACATGGTGGCCCGGCAACTTCAAACGGGAACACACTGATACAACATACACAGTTGACCACCCATGCCTCCATTATCGGCGGGTCAACCACATGGTGGCCCGGCAACTTCAAACGGGAACACACCGATACAATAGACACAGTTGACCACCCATGCCTCCATTATCGGCGGGTCAACCACATGGTGGCCCGGCAACTTCAAACGGGAACACACCGATACAATAGACACAGTTGACCACCCATGCCTCCATTATCGGCGGGTCAACCACATGGTGGCCCGGCAACTTCAAACGGGAACACACCGATACAACATACACAGTTGACCACCCATGCCTCAAACCGGCGGGTCAACCACACAACAACATACAGGTGTCACAACACTGAGACAGTACAGCACAACACTGAGAGGCAAATGCATTTGACCCTCCCAAAAACCAGTGTTTACGACCAAGCATTTCTCACGGCATCGCTCATTAGCATAACTTCCTGCAAGTAACCATGGCAAACCCCTAAGTGATACCCACAGAGCCACACCGGCACAAGGACTGCACAACAAGCGGAAGGCACAACACTGTACAACACTACAAATGTACCTCACTTCTGTTCTCAACACCACATGGGCGTGGGCTGTTCCAGTCTTTGCTGCTAGCCATTGCACAGAGGGTATACCGGCTGCACGCCTGACATAGTGATCGGATGCTGCACTTCGCCAGCAGCCTGCACGGCATATGGCTGCTTCACAGACACTTGTACTCCGGTGAGCCATGAGTGTGGCCCCGCCAATGCGCACAGAATGGGAGCTCACCCGGTTGCAGTTGAGGATCCTAGTCGAGAAAACTCGGGAGAAGTAGCCGCCGTCGACGAACACAAACACTGGCCGTGAGCTGCCGGCAGTAGCGGTCAGGGACCGGAACTCGGCCATAGCCGAAACTGGGTACATCATATTATGTGTGCGCAAATACCGGGCTTAAAGGTCTGAGTCGCTCATGAGATCATTGCTGGCAGCAATCAGAGCGGCGAGTTCAGCAGAGGAGTTGGCACCAGGCACTGGTTGGCTGTGGAAGCCAGTTCTCGGAAGCGAGTAATCACAATAGGTTCATGCTGCATCTCAGCGGCCCGTTGCCCCAAAAACGATTGTCCTTGATAGAAACCGCAGAAGCCAACATCAGAGGCATCCGTGAATAGCTCAAGGTCAGGGGACTTTGAAAACTCGACATCGTAGAAGAAGGATTGGCCATTCCAGTTTGCGGCAAAGGAGCGCGACCATTCGATGTCCAAGTGAGCTTTTGTGTTGATGTTGACTACTGACTGAAGAGACTGAGAGAGTTGTCCAGCTAAGATACAGGAGTTGACGGATGAAGGTCCTGCCAGGAGGAACCACCTTTGCGGCAAGGACAAGGTTCCGATCAGCGACAGCAGTTCCCGCGTTGTGTAGCTAGTGCGCGTGGACTACTCACTCAAAGCCGCTAGAAAGGCAAATAACTTCTTGTCAGGTAGCCGCATCACCTGGTCCTCGCTGTCGACTTCTATGCCAAGTACCGTCACCACTGTTGCTGGGCCGACCACCTTGCTGAGGTTGTCGAAGACCTGCGGAACCGTTGCTTTCAGTTGAACTCATTCCATTGACCATGAAGCACACGAACATAAGCACCTTGTTAAGTGCAGCGTACTGGTTCTTGTGCTGGCCTGCACAGCTATCAGGAATAGTTTTACCCAGAATGACTGGGTTGATGATTTCTCCCTAAGAGAGGGTAATGCCACGTGCACAGCAGATGTGGTGCATAACGAACGCACAGTGGGCATAAAATCTTCATATCCACATCAAAGGCCACAAGCGTTTGACAACCACACCTGATACGTAGATGATCAACGATCGTCCCTGCACTCAACGTCGCTCCAGCAGTAGTAGCATGTTGCAAACCACCATCGTACGTTGTCCATGTAAATGCCTCTGCTCCTTGTCTACTTCTTTGGCTAGATTTTTTGACAGGTAATCACAGCCATTTCTGAGTTGGCGTCAACGCCACTCGCCACGTCGAGGCCTAAATAACTGGTCCTCTGCTTCGAGTAGTTCTTGCTTGGCCTCATGAACTCCAGGAAATTCACTACTGCGACCATGAGCTACTCTATCTGCCCACGCAACAAATAAATATTTCAACCAAGCGCGATCGATCGCTGTTTGAAGTTGTGAATTTTCAAGCGCTTCCAGCTCACACGAGTCAGCGCTTGTCTACGCAGACTAGCACAACTAATACTCTTGTACAGCTTGGCGGAGAGACAAAGGAGAAAACGGAGAAAACACAACCTTGAGTCACTTTGGCTAACTGGATGACAGAAATTGTTGACAAGGAAGTTGCTTTGCTGACACGAGGCAGGGCAAAGCGGCCACGCAAGATTTATTTTTTCATCCACCATTTTCGGAAAAAATATTTTTTATTCATGTGCCGCGTGACGAACCGTGACAAAACACGTGCATGCGTGGGCTAACTTGGATGCTCAAAGCCGTCATTTATGTATGCAGACCGGACACGACCTTGACCTTCGAGCTTCATGCTCCAGCTTCGTTGTACTACACTACACGTAGGAGTCGGGCTGTTTTTCGATTTTGACAGCATGTAACAAGGAAGGCGAGTCGCGCGTGCAGTGCGTAAGAAAAATTTAAAAAACGCAAAATAATCGTAATCGGTAATCTATACGATTGCTCGATCGTTAGAGTTATCAAACGAGTACTCGATTATTCGGTATAATCGTTTCAGCCCTAGTCAAGTGTCAAGTTCGGCAAGAAGCGTGTGTTCCTAGTTGGAACAA